TGTGTGTGTGTGTGTGTGTGTGTGTGTGCGTGCATTCACAGCAGGGTGAAGGTGTCTAAATCTGTGTGGATTAATTAAAAGGAATGAGGAGCAGCTCTGGGCGATGGAGTGAAGGAGAGAGGGATGAGGGAAACGAGGGATAAAGTAATTAAAGCATCACAGGCAGGGAGGAAGGTAGCGAGAAGCAGAGTCCCACGACACGCTGGGAAGATATTGAGACATCCGAGAAATGTCCTGTGTCCATGTGTGGAGGAAACACAGATCATTGTTTGACAATTTTATCATGTGAAGGCTCATAAAATGTGAAAAAAAGTTAAGGGACAACACCGAGAAAAGGGATCAGAAGAAATAAAAAGGAAAGGGGGTGGAGCAGAAGATTTAATACATCACTTTACACATGGACACTTAAAGGTCCAACTTCCAGAATGTTATATTCTAAAGCCTGATTTTTAAAACTGATTCTACCTGAACTCAGTAAATCCCGAGTAAATCCCACTAGATAAACTAATTAGTGTGCTTCCTCACACACAACAGGCCGAGGTGAACTCAGCTGTTCACTTCTGTGTGATCAGCCACAAATCTCTGATGGGTGAGAGGAGACGATGACTGAACTAATGACATTTGCTAGCTGACTGCACAATGCTAAACCGGGGCTAAACGCAGCATGGAGAGCGCCTGAGGGACGAAAGGAAAAGATTGTCTTGCTACTTCCCTGTTCTGCAGGAAAATGGATCGAACTGCATTAGTTTAAATCCAAAGATGAATTAAAGCTACATAGGTTTAAATGATATTTAGCAGAAAAGGGGGCTAACGACAATTCTTGTCATCAGAGAACTGCATGCGTGTGAGCACAGTCTTCCTTGTGTGAACATGTACGCAACGTGGACACAATGACAAGGGCTTCCTGCGAGGATGGTAAAAACTTAAGGGTTCTGTGTCATTAGGAGAAGCGTAATAAAATTTGGGTTCATTATGAAACTCTGGTGGGACAAATAAGACGATGACGAGCCGCCACAGTCCAGGTAATTACTGGAAAACACTGAGGAGAGCTGGAGGATGACATGCAGCAGCTGGGTTTGTTATGGTAATGTGGGAACACCATGACACTGGGATTCAAGATTAGATGTCTCTTCTTGTCTTTAATTGGGTCATTATCAAAAAGTTATCCACCACAAAATAGTTTTATTAAAAAAGAAGTAGCCTCCTCTGTTTTAGAGGCATCAATAGATAGTGAGGTGCTTGAAAAAAACTTCTCGCATGAGGCTGGTGTTATTATTTTCCCTCCATAATTAAAAGCGTCTCCAATAATCTAATTCCTCAGTTTGAGTTTGAGCGACTTAAGGGACTTTCTCAGTGCATCTCTTTGTATATTTTAATAGCACTTAATGGACCAACTTTGACTGAGTCAAAGGACTGAGGATTCAGCCTCAGGGCAATATGGATATGTGCACCAACATGACTTCACTGAACAAACCAACAGAATCAAACTCGACACATTCAGCACAGAGAACCAGCTCGTGTGCGCACATTCAGTCGATTTACAAAACACAAACAAATGTCTATTAGGACGTCGCACAGTCTCATGGATCAGCTCATGCAGTCTTGATTTCATTCAAATGTAATCACACTGCAACCGCCTGGACACTGAGGGGAGGCGCTCCAAAGGTTGTAATCACACCATCTTTCTCGTGACTGCTTCCCAACTAACCGCATCTCTCTGCGGCTTCTTTTCCCTGACACTCCCTGGTGTCTTCCGTCCCTGCACGGCTGTCTGAAATATCCTCAGGGTGCAGTTCCCTTCACATGCTCACACACGAGCAAGTGTTCACGTGGATCTAGAAAACCGCTGGAGCTCTGGGAACATGGAACACATACATCAAAGACAAGCGGTGACACCAGTTACCATGGAGACACGGAGTTGCCTGTAACACATTCTGCCAAAGTTTGTCATCAGAACCGACTGTGCGTGTGAGTGGGCGTGTTTGTGTGCGTGTCTGTGAGAAAGAGACACAGCGGACCCGCTCAAGGAGGCCTGTGGAAGCTGAGGACACCCGCAGTGAGGCAAAAGGAAAAACTGAGATAACATCCTAATAAATTTACACGCAAATCAGGAGCATATTCTCTTTGGTGTCTGACCGACTGAGGCTTCACATTGATTAAACTGCAGTCAAAAGGAGTTCATTGACAGACTTACAGTCCCGCTGGTGGAGCCTCGACCTATGCACTGCAGCGCCGAGAGCTGAATGCTAACATGCAGTCTAACACATGTTGACAATGCCATGACGCTATTAGTGTGGCCAAGACACCAACATCTGGCAATTAGCACGGAACACAAAGGCTAATCAGATGGTTATTACTTTAGCTAGTATGTGGTCTTTAACAAAAGTACCGGTTGAATAAAAATACTGCATTGACCGTGACACAGGAGGAAAAGTCTGAAGGAAATTATTGAAATCTACTTCTGCTCATATTTATACCTAATTACGAGGCGGTCTATTCAATGGATGTTGGTTATCAGTCAGGGTGGAAGAGGTGGACCATGCACCCAAGCAGCATCGTCAGTAAAGCAGAAAACTGTGGGATAAATAAAGAGACTCAACACACACAAATCAGGAATATTAAAGACATTTCAACCGAGGCTTCTTATGCGGAAGGGACAGAGAGCAAAAAAACCCAATAACAGCATCAGAACTTAATCATCTGGTGACACTTGATGAGCAAAGCCTTCACACAAACATCCCACACGGTGAAGGTTGTGACTCAGCTTGTCATATTTTCTACCGGCGCTCTTCTTCGTTCACTCCCAACACTGACTGTCTTTCTGGTTCTTCGTATAATTATCTTTTCTTTTAAACATATAATTATCTCCAGTCCCATCAGCAGTTGCACGCCACCAAGTTTAAACCAAATATCAATGTAGATATGAATGTTTGTACAGATTCTTTGGATCTATGGATTTTTCTGAATGTGCTTTTTTTCCCCCTTTCACGTTGAGGTACATCAATATCTTAGTATCAGTGTGAAGGTGAGCTTTCAATAGTTTTTACAGTAATTGTAGCTGTCATAAACCCACTGCTTTAAGAACACATTTCAACTGAAAGGGAAAATAAGCCCTAATGTGGCAATGCCTGAATAATTCTGCTGTCAGGTACACAGGCACTCTTTCATTTTACAGAAAAGAATCCTCGACTATACTCTCTTATACTGAAGGAAATGTATACCATTACAAATCTACCTGTAATCACATGTGTAGTGATGTCGGTATTTACCTTCACTGAATCGTCTTAACCTTTTTACTCTGCATATTCAGCTTAACATTACATTTTGAAGTGCACAACAATTAGAGCTATTAAAAGTTCCAAACCCAGTTCAGCGTGGAGTTGACATTTCCCCCCCATGTCTATGTGGGTTTTCTCTGGGTTCTCTCTCTTTCTTCACTCAGAGATGATCATTCTGCTACACTCTAACCAATCTTCTCATTAAATAACTAAATGCAGGCCAGGACACTCGTACATTTAACTCAATTGAATGTACAAATATTAGCGTGTAAATTGATATTATTAATGAAAGATAAGAAATGGAAATTAGCATGCTTGTTGTTGTGCCAATACCTGGCTGCCGCTCAAAATGTACTTGTAACCAGATTTGGCAAAACTGCCTATGAAATATATTGTGTTTGTGTATTTGAAGGTTAGAGACCTTGAACTAATGTTCAATAAGACAAACTGAAGGAAATGTAAATGTGCATAGTAAGTGCAGGTTAAGGCGTCAGAGGTGTGTGAGAGATGAGTCTTGATGATAAAATGTGGGACACCTCTGCTCTGATAGCATTTGGTAGCTTGTTCCACCATCGAGGATCCACAAATGTGAACAGTCTGAGCTGTGATTGCTTTGTGTTCAGGGATGGCACACATCTCACCCCAGCGTACAGATGGAGTGGTTCCGCCATTTCAACTCGTTACCACTGTTACGGGCTGACTTACTCACCCATAAGTAGTTTGTGATTAAAATTAATCATTTTGTTTTATAGGATGGTTCCTCTACAAAGTTTCATCAGAGGAGGAAAGGCCTATTCTTACTGTAAAAAAATAGAATTCTTGATTTTCGTTTTTTTATGTGCCCCACAGGGTCACATGTTAAACGTTGCTTGTTACATTTTTTGTGACGCTTTTTCAAAAGATGTTAAAAGAAGGTCAGAGAAAGTGTTTTTCTATATCATCTTTATTCAAATACTGACCTTATCAATGGTTACTCGCGTATTCTCACATCCTTTAGAAGTATTTCAAACAATGTTTGACCTTTAATAAAAAAAAGCTAGATTCTATTTACATAGGAAAAGACTGGATTTCCCTCATTCAGCAGCTGGATTGAGATTTTCCTTCCTCCTCCAGACAGAAGAAAACTTCTATTCATTCTAGAAACTATGGGTAAGAACCGAACCAACACACAATGTGAGAAAGAGAAGCCTCAACATTTGAGAGAAGTGCTATCCGATTCATCCCCTCTTTTCATATGTCCATCCAATTAAAGGAAATCAATACCTTCTGGCTTGAGATGCAGGGTGGGGCTTTATAGTGACCTCGTCCAACCAAGGAGTTGCATGCTGCCTGAATGACAATCACGCTCCTCTCCCGAGGCAGACAGGGTCAAAGAAAAGGTGCACACCCACGGCCTTTGACAGTTAGACCGTAACACACGAAGGACAACAAGCCAACACAAATGAAAGAGGCCTTTGTTTCCTGCAAACAAAGATAAGGGACAACTCTCCTGCGTGTTGCCTTT